TTAGCCCTGTTAGCGGCTCATTACATACGCCACGACCAAATAGCAGCGATTGGTTAAATGAAAAAAGTACCTGCCTACAGTTGAGCGAACGGATCCTAACACTACAGGGTCAGACGGTTTCTACGAAGTGAAACCGGCTGATGAATCAGGCTACTCCACTTCTGCCTCGGGAGCTCAAATCGATGGGTAGCTCAAATCAACAGGACACCGGGCCTCGTTCAAACCCTCCTGATGGTCCGCTGTAAGATTCTGTCCAAGGCTCCGCCCACAAGCCTACGTCACCCACGCTCTACCTCGACAATCCTCCATAAATACACAAAAACACGACACAAAACGACTTCACAAACCTGATGCGACGTGCGGTAGCTTCATTAGTAGTTTGTGTTGCAATAGGGCTCTGAATGGGGAGTGACTTAGCGCAAAGAGCAAAGGAACTCAAGGAAGGGACTCGAAGCATCAAAAAACAAAAACGAAACACAAAAAAACCAACACATTAATACGTTGTGTTTGGCGCGAATCTAGCATTTTCGAAACAATGGAAGGTTACATGGCGATCTGATCTATTGTTACACGTTTTATTTTTCTTTACGCAACATTTACCACAGTGATCCGCTTCAAGTGCACTGATAGAAAAGCTGGAATTGCATCATGTCTTCCTCCCAGCTGTCGGGTGCCCTCTTGGCCCTCGGATCGCTCTTGGGATCAACACAAACGTCCTCAGAGCTCCACCTCCTAATTCCTCCCGACGAATTCCGCTTTTATGACCAAAATAGGCCTTCTCTCTCTCCTAACTACCACTTCCAAACGAAAACAAATAGAGAGGCATCGTTTTGAGAAAGAATTTGCGTCGTGAAGCTTGAAAGGTGCGCCGTGTCACTTTTTCGTCGCTTGTTTCCGTGGAGATGTCACTGGTCGGCCTGGAATGTTCCGCAGTGTGACGCTGAAGAGCTCGATCTTACGTTTATTCGATTACAGGTGGTTTTATAGCTCAAAAATATTAAGTAAAACAGAGATTCTGACTAAGCGGGGTCGCATCTTTGCATTTCTAACCTGTAACTTAGTCTGGTTTGGTCTCCATGAAGATAGAAAGATTTAATTCCATACTGTGAAACATTCCAAACAAAGCAAGAACATCTTGATGGAGAAAAGCGTTTGACGGAGCCTCCACCAGAGAAAGTTTCACACAAACAAACACAAAATATGATTTATCTCTTTCAGATGCCCTGCCAGCCTTCAGTCCTTGAGTTTTAGGTATTTTAAAATCCGGTTTCAGATGCCCTTTGTCTTCATATAACCTTGTGTCAGATGTAGGGTGACCAGACGTCCCTATTTACCCGGGACAGTCCCAGTTTTGAGCCCTGTGTCCCTTGTTCCAGCAGATTTATCCAAAACCAGTGATTTGTCCCAGTTTTACACAAAAAATGTCCCAGATGTCTCTATTTTTGACCAATCTGATCCCTGCCAACAATAAAGAGATGCTTAAATTGTCATTTGTTTGGGTAAAATACAAAAGCTGCTTAAAAACGACCAAAACACAATGAAAATGTGACTATACTGACTCACATTAGTGCTGAGTGCATAAAAATTTTCCTTAATTACCCACTCATTTCACAATTTTATTATTACCAATCAACTCAAACCAGGGATGTCACATTTTTTTATTTTGAAAATCCGGTCACCCTAGTCAGACGCCTTCCCATCCTCCTAAAGCCCTGTGATGCACTTTCACCTCACAGCAAGTGGGTCCTGGGCTTTTCTGTGTGGAGTTTGTGCAGTCAAAGTTAAAATGAAACGCACCCATTTAAATCATCAAAACTGTGAAAATGTCAAATGTGTCGCATAAATGAGTTTCCTTCCTCTGAAAAAGCAACAAAACTGTAGCTCTCTAACCAAATAATTAGTAAAATAAACAAAAAAATACTCTTGGTGATATATCGATACAGCAGCCCACGATATCGATACTGTATCATCGCTTTAAACAATATGATATATTGATATTTTGATATTTTTGCACACCCCTACTTATTCTGCATTTTACTGTTAACTATAGAGTGACCAAATGTCAGTTTTTTTTCCTGAACATGTCCGTTTTTCATGTCCTGTCCTGGCCATCTGTTTTTTTTTTTGTTTTTTTTAATAAAGTGATGCAAATGTCCAGGTTTTCATGATCTTTCAGTGGGGTCATTACACTGAGCGTCTCTCGTAGCTCTCTGGAACTCAGAAGGAGCGAGCAAACACAAATAGTCGGTCAGTCTGCAACGTGCCGAAGTACAAATGCGCATTTAACGATGAGTTGCACAAGAAATTCCCCGCTTTCCGTCCCGGTCGAGACAAGTGTGAGGCCATGTGCACAGTGTACAGAGCAGGCACATATGTTTCGGTGTCCAGTGGGAAAAAGCTCACCAGGACACCGAAAAACATTAAAAAGCTTTGCCAGGTGAGATTAGCTCAATGTCGATGACGAGGCCCCACCTCCCACCCCCCGTACGGTGTCCTGGCTTTGACAAACGCAAATATGGTCACCCTGGTTAACTAGCTCTTAATATGTGGTCCCTAAACTAAATTGTTACCGTCATTTCATTTAAAGTGATAGTGTGTAACTTTCTGGAGATGGACAATAAACTGAACTGAACGACTCCATGGAAATAGACACTTCAACAGAACATTTTCAACAAAGATCCCATTGTGGAATATTATAGCCAAAGGAAATTTTCCATGTAAACGAGCAGGCCCTCCTCCAACTCAAAGAAGAGTCAGGTCTGTGGAGATGCAAGCTCGCTTACAATAATGACACATTCTTTGTTTTTTTTCTGTTTTGTAGTACAATAAACACATCCATCCAGGCTCGGACTGGTAATCTGTACTACTGCACTACTTCAATTTTCACACTTCAGCTGATTTGTGGGCTATTTTTTGATTCCAGTCCGACCTTGAACACATCCGCAATGAACAAAACTCTTTAAGCTGTTATTTTAGCCTGTTTTTATCTTTAATTTCATTGGTAATAGCGTGAAACCAAACCAAGCTCAAGCTCCGAGATGAGTCTGTGGGCGCTGCGTTGAAAGGTTGACGCAAACGCAAATCTCTCCTGGGACAACTCATACCTTAATCTTTGCCGTATTTACATTTTTAATACCTTTGAAATAAAACCTCCGCCAGCCGTACAGGAGTTTCTGGAATTTGGAAAGCCTGGAACACGAGCCCCAAAATTACGAGAGCAGAACAGCGCCTATAATTGGCCGACGACTCAAACCTTATCTGTTCTATTTTGGTGTGTGCTCCCTTCATTCCATCGCCACAGGAGAGCAGACCCCCCCCTGCCCCTCACACACACACACACACACACACACACACCTACGATACCGTCCTGTCAGCGGGAGAAAATAGCTCGCTTTCCACTGACATCACCCCTCATCCCGTTGCTAGGAGACGCAGCGTACATATATAGTCACTACGATGACGACGGCAGCTTCACCTCCGCAGCTCCTGTGACCTTTTCGAACGATATTGGGGGTAATATTCATATAAAAGACTGAATAATGGTGATTCTACAGTGGGAGCATTATTTAATAGCTTAGTTTGGCTTGTCAGAATGTGCTACCTTTAGTCAGAGGCCTATTCGATAGAAGATATAGGCCTGTCGAAATTAGCTACCTTGACCCAAATTCATATAAATGAGTGAGTAATGGTGATTCTACATTATTCGGTGATTAAATACGAGAAAACGTTTTTGTTTACATCCGGCTTTTCCGCATGTGCGCAGTGGCTGGTTGGCAAAAAGTCAGTGGGGCCACTCGTTTGTGTTGACAGATGCTTCGCGTGTGTCTGTCGTGAGATAACTCGTCTTATTTTGAAGTAGGTTTTGCATTTAATTGCTTTGACTTCATCATCTTACTCCAAGTCACTGAATGCTGAGGATCAAAAACATTACTTTGAAAGTTAAAACTCGCCGATAACTGTTGATGATGTTGCCCTGACGTGTTTTCTCGTATTGACCTGTCGATTTGTGCTCTCTTTAGCTCCCGAAATTAAGTACCTATGCATATATATTAAATCCAGGCTCAGTACAGTTCTGTTTAGCTGTGCATATGACCGAAAGGTTTTCATTTTTCATTCCGCACTCTTCTCTCTAATTTAATGTTTCTCTCTCTCTTTTTAACTTTATGATGATTATATGTGTTATAATATAATATTATGTTGCTCTAACAGCAGTTTTGAGCTTTCATTGTTTTCCAAAAGACATCAGCCTGAGCTCTAAATGTCTCGAGAAAATAAGAGAGGATTTGACCATCACTAACCACACTGAGGTCTGCAGCTCTCACTTTAGACCAGACGAGAATGAAATTCACTCTTCGACTGGAGACCTAAAGAAGCAAAAACCTGGTCGTCTGAGGCTCGACATGTGTGATGATGAGGACCATTCTGTGGAGAAGGAAGAGGAGCAGCACCAGGAAGAAGCCGGTGGTTTACCAGTGCCAAATGACCACAACTGAGTCTGGATCTACACGGTTTGGACAAGAGCGTGAGGAGCTCCAGGAGTAAAGAGAAAATGTGGCGTCATGTCACCTGCAGTCATCTTTCTCCAGAGAGTCTCAACTCCTCCTGAGGACATTCACCATTACACCAGGTTTGTAAATAAAGGCTGTGAACGCACCTTCTCATGAAGGACTTTTCTATTTGCTGCAGTAACCCTCACCCCAAAAGCACAAGGATGAGAAATGTGTTCTGTGATAAAACAAAACAATTCAATTCAAATGAATATATTACATCTTTCAAATGGGGAATTATCCTCACAAATTTCTTCAAATAAAAAGGTTAGTAGTTACTGTAGGATTTTGTTTCTTAACGTACATGAACACTCAGTAAATGTGAATGAGCCGGATTCATAGTTTGAGCCTTTGCACAGAGCAGCAGACTGTAGTCGACTGGTGAAATTGTAGACCATTGTTGGCAAAATAAATCCTGTGTTTGTATTTAAAGACAGAAAGAACAGACATTGATCAGTTGCTCATACAAGTTTATTTTCCTATTTTCTTTTAGACAGTGTCTTGTAGTGTCCACTGTAAAGACCTGAGGACAGTGCATGGGGACGGTCTCTGTGTAAGACAGACGGACAGCCCAGCACGAGCTGCTCTGAGGGGCACATACACACACATGTGTACATATTTATAACATATATAGTGACAGGTATGAGACATGAGGCCCCCTCAGTGCCCCCTGCTCTGGCTGTGTGCACTCTTCAGTCAGTCTAGACTCTGGGAGGGCATCAGTACCGCACACATGACTGTTTCACCAAAATGATACAAATCAGACAGGGGTTATGGCAAATCAGCTCCTGATTGTGCAATCAAATCTCATTTGAGTATTTTTTGGCACAGACGTCGCCAGCTGTCATTTTCTAATTAGGCTTAGCCACCGCACCGGTCTGTCCTCTGATCAGGACCAGGGAGAGGGGCATTATGGGGCTTTGTGGATTAGGACTATCCTGAGCTGCTTTTCCACTCCAAGTGTGGTCCTGTGTGGACCTGCCCCAGCTGCAGCAGAGCACAGAGCACAGCCTTATTCAGACCTGTGACTCTTCTCTCCTCTGGGGAAGGACACGGGTCTACTGCCCCCTGAAGAGGACACAGATCTAATGCCCCCTGTAGGGAGAGGCACAGATCTACTGCCCCATGTAGGGAGGGACACAGATCTAATGCCCCCTGTAGGGAGGGACACAGATCTACTGCGCGCCTCCTCCCACTGGCCTGTTTGAACAGAGGCGACTGCACTTTCTGTGCACTTTGTAAACTCTATAAAGGAGCATTTCTTGAAATGGCCTCTACATTCACTACTTCAGTTTGATTTGTCCATTCAGTCCATGACCTGAGGAGACCACAGGAGTTTAGGACTCATGATTCTAATGAGTGAATGGTCAGTGCTTTAGAGCTGTACTATGGCTCTCCTCCATCATCTATAACACACACAAAAACACAAAACACATGGCAACAGCAACAAATACGACGTTTCATGACACGTCCTACAGCAAAAAGAATCAGATTATCATAATTGTTTCAGGATAAATGTAGAAATATAAAAGGAGAAGCACATGGTAGACTACACGGGTTTAAAAGAACGTGCTATGTACAGTACATTCAGTTCAAATACAAGAGTGCAGTCTGCAGCAGACATTTATGTCCTGAGGAGTACCACACACTCACAGCTTCAACTTTTCTTACTTGTTTTTAAGACTTTTGAGCAGCATGGACAGACACAAATCTTTGGATTGTGGGTATCAAATAGTCTGGTCCCACTGAGACTCAATCAGGGAGCGGAACAAAAGGGCAGATTTAGTACAACACAAAATGGGGCATTAATTAAAACATTTAAAAACAAGAGAAATGAGGGCCGCAGATCTGCCTACAGCCGGCCCCTGGCATACAAACGCCTTGGCTTTAAGTAAAAATATATTTGTTTATAATTTTAAAAAAATATTTGAAACATAAACTGTTATTATAAAAAACATAAATCTTTGTTTGAAATACATTTTCCACTTGTATAAAACCAAAACATAATTATCAACAATAGTTTTGACTTGTGACAGGTGCACTGTCGACTTTTAACATAAACTTGTGAAATTAAACTATGAATTTAAAATCTCGGACTCAGACAGACTCCAAAAACAAATACATCTCAATAAAATTTCAATAATCAAGTCTGATATTTTTCTTCACCCTATGGCAGCAAATACAGTTCCATTTTTTTTTTCTTCATGCATATCCAAACTTGCAAAAGAGAACACTGCGCCCACGAGCCAGGCACAACTTTAGCATCAGCACGAGCAAGAACAGTTCAAGTGCATATGACAGGTTTTCATTTTTCTAATTCTGACCTGGTGAATGTGCTCAGTATTTAGCATAGTTTTACTTCAGTTCAGTTCAGTGCCAGTTTGAGGGGGGAAAAAAGCTGAGAAAAAAAGTCCAAAAAGACAGAATAGTGCTGAGTTTTTAAATTAAACACAGATATTAGATAAGTATGATGATTTAATGTTGAAAATCATATTCTATTGTCTAAAGAAAGAGTTTTTATTATCATCGTGGTATCGGTATCAGGTATCAAGTCTATTACTTAGTATCAAAATCGAGCTAAAAATTTCAGCATAGTGACAACGCTAGTGTTAATATTTATTTGCATTAGTCTAATCGTAACCTGTTTTACATGATGGCTGCCAGGTAACAGTTACGAAATTACTTTTATGTCACATCTACTTACCGTGTACAACCACGAAATGAAATAATAAATGTTACCTAAATAAAAAAATAGAGGAAACTAGACTATACTTTTACAAATCAACTGTGTACCGTAGTTTTTGGACTATAAATCACACTTTTTTTCATGGTTTGGGTGGTTCCTGTGAATTATACTCAGGTGCAATTTGTATATTAAAACATATAATTTCATATGTTTATTATTTTTACAGTGATAGCCACAAGAGGGCGCTTCAGGCTTGTGTGTCAGTATCTGCTACTCCTATTACTCCTGTACCACCGTCACTTCACTCTACTGTGCATGTCTCCTGCAGAAAGAGCCTCGGTCTTGTCTGTATCATGTCCGTGTTTTGTAAGATTTCAGCAGATTTCAGACTATGAGATCAGGTATGAGTGGACGTCCGGACACTGAAGTTTAAGATGTTTCTTTTCGTTATTTATGCACTCACCTGCATTTAACACATACAGTTATTAAGACCTTCGTATCTCACTCACTAATGTTCATTTAGCATCATAACTTATTTTATCACACGGCAATAAACTGTTAATCATATTTTGCAGATTACAAGCTGCAAGTAGCTAAATATTCTGCCAAAAACAGTAACTGAGCAGCAGAAAGAAAGTTTGGAGTGAGTGAGAAACTTGTGAGGGACTGGTGAAAACAGAGGATACTTGAACTGCAATGAAGAAAACAAAAAAAGCAAATCGTGGGCTAAAAGTTACATTTTAGAGTTAATGAAGTTGCTCAGAAGTATTTGATGGATTTAGTGATTTGGAGTGAGATGGAGCGTTTGGTAAACTTGTTCTGTTTATGCTACAGTTATCTGAAGAACTGTTCATATGTTCTGTTAACATACCAGACGCCTTTTCAGACTGTTGTTCTCTAATCTGTTATTTCATCTTGAAAGGCAACTTATAGTAATGTCTGTTCTTGGCCTCTTTTTATAATTTTATAAAATAAATTTTCCCCAAAAATTGTGATTTATAGTCCAGTTTGATTTTTCTTTTTTTCTTTTTCATTACGAATTTTTTGGCTGGAGCGACTTACAGATTGAAAAATCCGGTATATGGCATTTTAATCTACTCTTCCTAGTTCATTTTTGGCAACTTCAGTGCAAACTCTGTACATTTCCAGCTTTGTGGTCAGAATGTCTAAAAATGGATTTGTCCTGGCGTTTTCCGGCACTTCCCTGATTACAGCCAGTTGTTTCAAATACAAACACCTTGCTGTGAGGGCGGAGCCTGAAGTGCGGATACCTGTTCGACGAGTCCCACTTTAAATATGACAGAATATAATAATATGTTAAAAGTTTTATATTACACAAATTAACTCTTGGGAGGTTGTTATAATGTTGTTTCCTCCTCCAAAACATACCCAGAGCTTTTTTTTTTCCATTCACACACGTTTGAGTAATCCTGGTTTATTAGTCTGTCTACATCTCCAAAGATCAAAATGCTTTGTTCCACCTTGTGATGTCATGTAGAGGTTAGGGTTGGGCGGGATCCAAATTTTGATACTGTTAAACCTTCTCAGGATTTTACAGAGGTATACAGTATTACCATATTACCAAAATGTTTTAGTACGACTTCGGAAAGCTGTGCATGACCTGCGGATTTATAATCTCTGAAAAGTTCCACATGAACCATCTCCAACTCGATACGCGCACAGAACAGACTCACCATCAGCAGCACATCCTCTGTCACAGAAAGAACACTCATATTCCACTGAGTTGTGTCCTTTAGTCCGACAGAATCTGAACCGCCTCAGCGCACAAAGAAAGATCTGTTTTTACCAGCGCTTATAGTTTATGCAAATGAGCCACGCAGTTTTAAGTTTTGTTTGTGTAAAACATAAACAAATGAGTGCCTGAAGCCAAAATGCTGCCAAATTATACAAGTACTAGTTTTTTTTTTGGACTTGCGAGTTTGTCTTGGTCTCCCTTATGAGCATCACGTGACAATGGAACGAAACTAATCGGACGTCATCTCCCCACGCAGTTAAAAGGAACATTATAGACACGATTAGTTTTGAATCGTGATAGCATTAAATTAAAATAAAACTACATATTCATTTGTGCTGAGCAAACAAATGTAGGTATCGAAAAATTCTAACATATTAGGTCCTTATCCTTTTTATGATGATAATGAAACTGATATCGTTGCAACTTTTTGATACCGCGGGATACCGTAATACCGTATTACCGCCTAGCCCTAGTAGAGGTACTTTTAAAGTTAACAGGTTCTTTTACGTTTTACTCAGAAGAGATTTGCATTTCCAGGACTGAAATTATCCAAATGATTCTAGTGAAAGTGAATGGAGTATTTATTTCCTGTATTACCACATGAAATCACAATCTGGAAGAGAATGTTTTCTGTTTGAGAGAAGAATTCTGTCTAAACACGCAGGATTTGTGTGTTAAACATGTGCGAATGAAAGAAAACACAACTCCAGGTGTGTTTGTGATGAAGAAACATAACATAGATCAGAAAATTGCTTAATATGGGCCCTTTAAGTTTGAGTAAAAAGTGTGGTCTGACCTATCATACGCACTTTAAACTTTAAGCTTTACTTGACCTTCTCGTCCAGCTTTTTAGCTTTCCAATACCGATGGCAGGACATCTCCAGCAGCTCCATGCCGCCGATCAACTTCTGCTGGAGCACGAACACGCCCACGATGACCACGAAGAACCAACGGAACGGCGCCCACAGCCACAAAGCCACGAAGCAAAACGCGATATACAATGTCCAGTATACCAGCGACGCGGCTTTGATCAGCGCCACCCTCAGTTCGCTTTTGCAGGGAGGAACCAGAGCCACCCCTTCCCTGTCGAACGCTCGAGGTCGTCCCGTGTAGAAGTCTCTGAGGCGCGCTTCCTTCTCCGTCCAGCGCTCCTTGCACCAGGCCTCGAGCTGGGCGGTGGAGGCGGGCAGGGAGGAGACCGGGTAGCGCTGCACGTGGAAGTAGATCTCCCGGGGGAACAGGCCCATGACGAGGTGGCGCTCCGTCTGCGGGATGTTCTTGGGGTAGGCCACGGTGATGTCGTGCACCGCGTCCAAGTTGTCGCCTACGGAAAGACAGGGATTAAATGATCAGATAGATGTTACGATTCAACTGCCAAATGTTTTTAACAGCTGACAAAGTTTTAAAAAGTGCTGGACCTGTTTTTTACCGTCTTGAAAACATAAAAAACTGAACTTAAACCATGTTAGAATGATGTTACCTCCTCATACCCAGAGTTGTGTTTTGTCATTCACACATGTTTGAGTAATTCTTTTATTATTAGTCTGTCTACATCTCCAAAGCTCATTTTCACCCTTTGCATAGGTACATCTTCACTAGAATCATCCGAATCAGGGATCACCAAACTTTTTTCTCTGGGGGCCACATTATCACTCCTGACTGAGGACCGGGGTCGAGTTTGTCGCATAATTGTAAGACCCTGACAATGCAGATTATATTCTTTGAAAACTATCGCACTTTCTTTACATATCAGACAAACTGCACGGTCCTTACGCTGAACAAAAAAATAATCCTCGTCCACTGTTCTTTGAAAACTCAGTACTCTCTGTCAACTTTTTGTACTTTAACACTCGTCATTTTGCTGTCTTTAACTGCACTACAGAACTCTGTGGGTGTGTTGACCTTCACTGTTTGATCTCGAGTTTGTCAGGTGATGAAAATTTGGTGGCAAATGTAAATATGTCACATAATTATTTAAATATAAATATAAATACTTCATATAAATATCATTTTTTAAGATCAGGGTATCCTCAGGTTTGGCTACCCCAAATTTAAGACTTTTTACAGACCTTTTTAAGACCACTTAAATGAAAATTAAGACCAACATTGCACTTATTATGTGTGCGAAAAACACCAGATCCAATTCTAATATCGACCAATCAACTACTATATCTAAAATCTAACTGTGGATTAAACCTACACTTTCCCATGATCCGTCCAACGTCTTGCCCCACTGTACTGATTGTTTACTCATTCCCGCCGGCACCAAAAACCAAAGTATTGTTTGCGCATACTCCAAATTAGACGACCATTTACATTATATGATTTCATTTTCCTCGTTTTTTTCCTCCTTCTGTTTAACATTGTACTGCAGCCCGGTTAAGTATACCAAAAAAAAAATAGCCTAATGAAATTTAAGACTTAATGAAAAAAATAAAACTTGGACAACATAATTTAAGACTTTTTAAGACCTTAAATTTAGGAACATGAAATTTAAGACCTTTTTAAGACTTTTATGACCCCACAGCTAAGCTACTATTTGCCAAAAAGTAATTAAAAATAGGACATGACAATTTTTGAGGATTGCCTCGTAGGGTCAGTTCAAGTGGTGGGGGGCAGAGGGGCTGGGGGGCCGGTCAAAGGGGCGTGGAGGGCAGGAGTCAGCCCGCAGGCCATAGTTTGATGACCCCTGATCCAAATGATTCTAGTGGAGTTTAAAAACTTTATATATTACCACATATCTTCACAAGCTTTAATAGTGTTTTTTGTGTGTTTTTTTTTTTTTTTCTTGAGAGAAGAAGTCAGCCTAAATATGCAGGTTGTACGTGTTAAACATGTGAATAAAAAAAAAAAAAACACACAACTCCAAGTATGTATATTATCACAGATTAGAAAATAGAGTAATATGAGTCCTTTAAACAGTTTACAATGGTCCAGAGTTATCTCTCACTTACCTTATGTATTCCAAGGATCCTAATGTTTGAGCCCAGTCTTTTTTTCTTTTTTCCTCAACTTTCAGAGGCCACAGCAGACTTTTGGATTGAAGGTGCATGCAGGACAACAAAGCGCTTTAGAATTAGACGCATACAGTACACAGCTGACTTTTTGACCTGAAGAGCTGCTTATATAATATATCTGTACTGAGTCATAGAGAAATAACAGATAGTGCTTTTAAACTGAAATCAAGATAGCCAGTCAGTTGTTTGTATGTGACCTTTAGGTTTCAAGGTTTCAATTTTTATAAGCTTGAGTGCTCAGACAATTTCAGTTTTCACTCATCCTATATCTCAACACACAGCTCTGCATTTGTTTTATCAGTTCTGCCGTTTTGAACAGGAAATCAGTGGACCCATTTCTATTATCAAGCCATTTCGATCTATATTCTGGTTTTACAATGAAAAACCTGTAAAATGATCTATGCAGGTTATGTTATATAAATAATACCAGATACCAGACAAAAGGCATAACGTCTTCTTTAAATAAATATAGAAGTGCAGTCTGTCTTTGTTGTGTTGTGTGCAGGATGTGTCCAAGATACTGTTATCTGAAATCTGATATATTTTATAAGGTCAGTCTCCAGTCGTAATTAAAGTGATTTGTTCTGAACTTGGTCGGGTTACAATGGAAACAGATGAGACATGAAGCTAAAGAGAGCGCCGTATGTTTACCCAATCATCATAAAAAGCAAATAAAACGTATGATTATTTTTAATACTCCATATTAATATGTCTTTTAAAAAGTTCATTTGAGAATTTTACAACTTCAAACTGGCCTCTCACCAAAAAACAAACCTGGAGTTGGGTTTTGTTTCAGTCACACATGTTTGAGTAAGATTTTTTTATTAGTCTGTCTAGTTTTCACGTTAACAGCTCCTTTTATATTTAGTTCAGTAGAGATTGGCAATTCTGTCGCTGGAATCGTCCAAATGATTCTAGTGAAGGTGTGTGGAGTTTAGAAACACAGTGGAGCACTTCCTGTGTTACCACCTGACATCACAAGGAGTGTTTTCTGTTTATGAGGAGCCTAAATACGCAGAGTTTGTGCATTAAACATGTGTAAATTAAACAAAACTACTCCAGATTTATTTGTTGATAATAGTAGCTGGTAAGTGAACTGATGTTAGGACGTGCGAGTGCTTTCTGAAAATGTATAGTTTATTATATTTGAATAAACAAATACTTTTATGAACTCCTGACGCGTTCAAACTTGGTACACACTATGACAATTGAGAACAAAGAGTTGGGTATCATTAAGAAGTTCCCGATACGATACATACATTTTGATTCGATACGATATGTTGCAAATCGATTCGATACGGTTCAGTAAAGAATAAAGGCTAAATCATGGCTGTGATACTAAAAGTCTTAAGTTAATATGAAACACAAACATTTTAAATCATCAAACAGTGAAAATGTCAAATGTGTCGCATAAACAAGTTTCCTTCCTCTGAATAAACAACAAAAACGCAGCGCTGTAACAAAATAATTGAGTAAAATATACCAAAAAATACTCGTGGCGATATATCGATACAGCAGCCCACGATATTGATACGATATATTGATATTTCAATATTTTTGCACATCCCTAATTACAATTTTACATTGCAAGTTTTTTTTGGGGGGGGGATTTACACTAATTGCTCCCATTCTTAAATTTGAATCAGTTGTGAAGCCCTAAAGCTACTAAATGTGAAAGAATTTAATTTGGCATTTTAGCGCCCCCTACAGACTGATATGACTTAATATGGGGAGAGGAAAAAAAAGTCTTTCAAAATTTTTGAAAACTTGCACAAAATTTCATTTTGGTGTCCCAATAAAAAAAGTCAATGACGCCCATGCCATATTTTTTACCGTGTATCCATAACAATGACAGAAACTCTCCTCTTGCTACACTGCAACAATTTACAGTAGGAGATGTATTATTTTTATTTTTTATTTTAGGTATTTAATTTGGGCAAGTTAGAGATATACATTCTTATACAATGGAACATGTAACATTAATGAAATCATAATAGAAAAAAACAAATAGAAATAAAAACTGCCCAAAAAGGAGTGGGAAGAAAACTTACTTAATCCCACCCCTCTTCTAATTTAACATGAGCTTTCTTTTTAATTTTTCAGACATTATAGATTAATTTATTAGCAGAGTCTTTAAATAGCAGAATCACTGCAACAGATTTAATGAGCCTCAATCAAAAATACCCGCCTGGAATGATGATTTTTCCATGATGCACAGAGGTGGTTAGACCTGTCGCACCTGCGTCAGTCGCTATTTGAGCATCATTTGTTTTACTCCAGCACAGACAGATCTACTGTAAAGGGACCGCGGTGTGACTGTGTGCCGTCTCGGGCTGTGGTCGACTGAAGGAATTCTCGGGGTGTGGTAAAAGCTTTCAAAATGATTATTCCTCTGTGTGTATCTGACCCAAACTGCACTCACAAGATTACACCTGCAGGGGGAGTTCATTAAACAACTATGCAGATAAAAAGTACTAGGAAACAAAGCATTTATATAAAGACAGAATAAACTCAATAAATCTAATAAATGATGAGTTCAATCTGCCTTTTTACACATAAACACCAGAACAATATCAAATCTTCAGCTCACTCACGCACTCTTTCTGCTCTTGTCACATAGAAATCTTTATAAATCGCAAATACAATGATTAGTCGACAAAGATTTGACCGATTAATCAACTAAATGTGTACAACTCAACTAATATGTAAGTGTTTTATTGCCTGAGAGGAGGAAATGCGCTTTTTTTCTTCGCATTAATGTGAAGACAAAACTGTACTTTGGCCTGAAAAGTGCTTATAAACTCATCGTGGTGGATAATTAGGATGGAAAAATGTTTAAAATGAACTTGTTTTTTATGAGACAGTAAACGTACAGTACAGTGACTTTGAGCCATCGCTGCTGTGCTGTAATTAAAAGCTTCCTCGGTGCAGTGCGTACATCAGCATGTTCTTCACGGGCCTGTGTATCAGCGTTACTGCAGTGTCCTACCCAGAGGTGAGGGCCGTGTCATGGGGGACAGGAGGTCACCTGTGCGGGCCTGATTCTGCGGAGCTCAGCTGATCGCGCGCTCGCATACACGGGCCGGATTACAAGTCAGAAGGAGCAGCTCTGAGCGTTTGATAATTAGCAGTGACATCATGGAGGAATGTTCCCACGATGACTCAATGCACACATAATAAACACCGGCCGACAGAGCTCAGATTAAAACCGAACGGGGAATGTGGATGATATTTACAGCTGATATTAATACTCACTCAGACAGAAACTGGGATGGGCTCAATAACATCACCAACACCCAGAGCAGTAAATATGGGGAAAAAGAATCACAATTTTCCTTTTTCGATTGAATTTTTTTCCATCTTACTGAATTACACAGACAGATTTAAAGAGCAGGAGCCAGGGTCACCACAGTTTTTATGTTTTGTGTTGATAGGACCAGCTTTGTGAGAAATCCACAAAGTTTGGAATGAGTTTGTACAATATATTAAGTTTAAACTACGATAGTGCGATGCCAGCGAGGTCATTCATAAACAATGAGAAAATAGTCGTTCACTTTCTGTAACTTACAGAAACACACATTAGAACTCGGGATGGGCATTAGATTAAATTTTCTTAATCAATCGTCGGGAGAATTAACGATCGATGATCAATTAATCATTAACGTTTTTATATTAAAATTATCATCATTATTATTATTACTATCTGCACTACTAATCTGCATAAATAAATTAAACTTTACGACATATAAACTGTAACCACTCTAGAGCCACATCAGCCTGTTTGACATTATAATGTGTTTAATGCAGCTTTGCGCAACTCTTACAGAAAAAAAACTTAAAACTGCATGGCTCATTTGCATAAACAAAACAAAGGAAAAAAATCAGCTCTTGTGTCGCTGATGCGGCATGACTCAGTGGAATACAGGTTAGTGTGACCAGATTTGCGTTTGTCAAAACCAGGACAGCGTACGGGGGGAGGGAGGTGGGGCCTCGTCATCGACATTGAGCGACTCTCACCTGGCAAAACTTTTTCATGTTTTCGATGTCCTGGTGAGCTTTTTCCCACTGGACACCGAAACATATGTGCTGCTTTGTGCACTGTGCACATGGCCTCACACTTGTCCCGACCACAACGGAAAGCGTGGATCATCGTTAAATGCACTGAATAATTTGACGGGTTTTTTTTCCACACCATCAAATTTTTTTTATTCAGTGACTCTGGCTGTCCTGTTTTCGCTTTTCTGTTGGGTTTAGGTTGTTGGGTTTTTTTGGTCTCCGTGTCCTTTTATAAATATGTTGGGACTCATTTTTTTCTGGGTCGTAACAACGCATTTGCGCTTCGGCATGATGCAGACGGACCGACTGTTTGTGTCTCGCTCCTTCTGAGTGCAGAGAGACACATGTCCGAACCCCTGTTTGGTCACCCTAAACTACGCACAGCAACCTACATTCGGTTTGTCAATTAAAATGAACGTAATCGATGAAATTCTTAATGATTTTTAAAAAATTATTGATTCATCGACTAATCCCCATCCCTAATTAGAACAAAGACGTTTAAAAAAGGAACATAAACTATTTGTGGTACAGCGAGTTCCTTTCCAGGAGAACACAATGACTGTGCAGTGACGCCAGGGCCGCTTTGGTGCACCTGCCAAGGGATCTGTACCTCCAGGAGAGAGGGACGCGAAAGAGGAGAGAGGAGAGAGGGACTAGAGAGAGAATAACAAAAGACGAGAGAGAAAGAGAAGGACAGAAGAGAGAAAAAGCCGATAAGACAGGAGGGAGCAGAGCGGAAAGAGAGAAGCTCGTCAGTCGGGAACTTGGAGAACTCTGGAGAGGAGCCAGAATTAGGGGCATGACGCAGGGACCACAGGAGCTGCACAGGGACACGGGAAGAACAGGAGAGGGGGGGACTACAAAGCCTCAAGGCATGATGGGAAATGTGTGCGGGACACGGGAGAATCCACACGCAAAGTTTTCTGTTGTTTAATCTGTGCTGAGTTCAAACGTTTTTCACAGAAGTGCTCTTGGTTATCGCTCATCTAAAGAGTTTGTTTTCATTGTTGGGATTCAGAGATGGAGAGATTGTGAGAAAACTTGAGAAGAATGAGATAGAGAAGAGAGAGAGAGATGGGAAAGGCTAAATAGAGAGAGGAGAGGAAAGGCAGGGAGAGAGGAAGAAGGGAAAGGTGAGGGGAGAGAGATTAAAAGGAGAGAGAGAGGAAAAAGAAGTGAGGATTTAAAGGATAGAGGGAGAAAGAAGAGGGAGAGAGAGAAAATATGGTGATGAGAGAGACGGTGGAAAGATTAGAAGGAGTGAGAAGAGATGGAGAGAAAAACAGGAATTTCAGAGATGGAGAGGAAAAGAGGAAAAGGAGAGGAAGAGAAATGAAAGGGGGAGAAAAAAGAAGAGTGAGAAAAGGATGAGAGAGAGAGAGAGGAAAGATGATGAGAGAGAGAGAGAGAAAAGAGAAAAGTTGAGGCGACGAGAGGCAAAGAAGAGGAAAGGTCATGGGAGAGGAAGAGAGATGAAAAGGAGAGAGAGAAAAAGAAGAAGTGAGTGATGAAAGGATAGGATAGGAGAGAGAGAGAGGGAGAGGAGAGAAAAGAGAACAGTTGAGGAGAGAAGGAAAAGAGGAAAGGTCAGGGGAAAGAAAGAGATGAAAAGGAGAGAGAAAAAGAAGCAAGTGATGAAAGGATAGAGGGAAAAAGAAGAGGGGGGAAGAGAAGAAAGATAATGAAAGAGAAAGGGAGGAAAAGATAAAGAGTGAGAAGAGATGGAGAGGAAAACAGGAAAGTCGAGGTGAGAGAGAAAGAGGAGAGGTGAGGGGAGAGGAAAAGAGATGAATGGGAGAGAGAGAAACAAGAAGAATGCAAAGAAAGTAAAGGACAGAGGGAGAGAAAGAGAGCGAGGAAAGATGATGAAGAGACAGAAGAAGAAAGAAGAGCGAGTGAAAGACAGAGTGAGACGAGAAAGAGAGAGAAAAGGGGAAAGTTGAGAGATAGCAAAGGTGTGAAGAGAAAGTAATAGCAAAGGTGAGGAGAGAAAGAGAAAGAAAGAGCAAAGGTGAGGAGAGAAAGAGAAAGAAAGAGCAAAGGTGAGGAGTTTCCGTTTTGTCTTTTATACGCGTTAGTTTTTGTTTCTTGTCTTTCTTAGGCCATGTTGATGTTTTTCGTGTTTGGGGGTTATAAGCTTTGTTGTTTTCGTATATTTGCATCTCGCTTTCGTATCATTTAACACTTTATTCTTTTGTTCTTCATAAAAACGTGAGAAGAAAGAAGAAAGGGAGAGAGAGAGTGGTAGAAACCCGCCTTGAAAAGCTATGTAAACGTTAGAAGCCTCACCTTTACGGAGCATGTCGACGATGTGGGTGAAGCCGGTGGTCCTGGGGTGGAGCACGTACTCTAATTTGGGCAGGCCGTTCTGTTCGGCGAAAGCGTCGCTCTTCGCTTTGGTCCTCTCTTCAAAAACAAAACAACAAACACATCTGATTAATATTAACATCACTGGATTCTTAAAGATGCGCTGTGTGATTTTTCGGTTGGGGGTCAGGCATCTGCTTGTTTCTCTGGAGTTGTCATTGCTCTGCCTGGAATGTTCCACAGTGTGACATTAAACAGCCTGATCTTACATTTATTCAGCTACAGGCGGTTTTAGAGCTCAAAAATAACTAGAAAACCTGTAACTTGGTCCGGTTTGGTCTCCGTGAAGATAAAAAAGTTCAATGCCATACTGCGAAACAATCCAGATAAAATAATATGTTCATGGAGGAAAGCATTTGACAGACTTCTAGCAGAAAAGTTACACAATGTTAGTCAGGCCGGCGCCACCTACTGCCTTCGCTCAATTTTATTTCTCCAGCAACTAGCTCAGGAATCAAATACACTACACCACAGGTGTCAAACATAAGGCCCGGGGGGCAGATCCGGCCCTCCAAGACCTTTAATGTGGCCCTTGGGTGATTTTCTACTAAAATATTTGAATTATATTTTCTATTAAAATATTGTTAATTTTCTGTGGTGTTTATCACAGCAGCGTCTCCAGTGTCTCTGTACGTGGCCCCTCCCACCAGAGCAGCACAAATGAAGACTTGTCTCTTTCCAAACGCTTTTAAAGGACGATCGTTTTGACTGTTGACCGTGACACCCTCATCAGAAAAATGTCCAACATGAGAAAAGTGGAGCCGAGTGCAGGATTTTCCCCCCCAAAAAATGACTTATTCCTATTTGCATACAAGTTTCAGTTTGTTCATAATATTATAATATTATAATAAGAAAGAGTTCATCAATTAAAATAGATTTCTGTAATAGATTTGTGTTTCTCTGCACAAATATTTTAACTTATTGTTATTTTTGGGGTTTATATGACATGAGTTTTCTGATCCAGCCCCTTTGGGATCAAAGTAGGTTGGATACGGCCCCCGGACCAAAATGAGTTCGACACCCCTGCACTAGATGGTTCGCAAAAACCCAAGAAGTGCGAGTTCGGGCACCAGCCAATCAGCGAAGAGCCATACATTCTGTGTTGGCAACGATTCCCGAGAACGAGGATTTAAAGCCGGAACAAAGAGATGTTTGGTGAATTTTATCAAGGGGAAAGAAGTTATTGCCCTTCTTTAAACAGGATTTGGCGCATTACATACGTCACGACCAAATAGCAGCGATTGGTTAAATAAAAAAGTACCCGCCTACCGTTGAGGGAACGAATCCCAACACTGCGAGGTCAGGTTTCACTTCGTGGAACCCGGCTGATGGATCAGGCTAACACAATGCAACTTTAACAGATCTTTTTGTACTTCGTTGGTAGGTCTTGATTTCTATTTCTATCTGAGACTGGTCCCTACACTGAAAAGCACCAAAAGAACAATTCTGAACAATTTTTGAATATCCAAGTAGCACTCCTGTCCCCAAAGTTTCGTAGGTCTTGATTTCTACTTTGGATCCTGCACAATATTACAAAATGCCCACATAGTAATGGCATTCAAATCTTCAAATTCAGAAATAAACTGGATTATTTATTTGTATCATTTTCAGTCAGTCATTAAACTTAAAGATGTATTGTATAACTTTTCTGGTGGAGTGTCCGTCAAATGCTTTTCTCCATGGAGATGTTACTGCTTTGTCTGGAATGTTTCACAGTATGGCATTAAACCTTTCTATCTTCATGGAGACCAAACCAGACCAAGTTACAGGTCAGATCTGTGGAGAGGCGACGCCGCTCACAGTCAGAATGTTGTATTTCTAGGTATTTTTGAGCTATAAAACCACCTGTAATTGAATAAATGCGAGGCAGAGGTGTTTAAAGTCACACTGTGGAACATTCCAGGCAGAGTAATGACATCTCCATAGAAACAAGCCCCCAATCAAAAAGTTACACAGTGCACCTTTAAAAATCTGGCAAGTAAACGAGATATTTTTGTCATTTCGTTTGTTTACATGAACTGAACTGAACTTCTATAGTATAATTAAAACATTTACTACAAAATTCAAGATAATGAATTTAAAGTGCCTGATTTTTTTCTGTGTATTTGAGCAAAATTGTTTTTAATCGTGTACAAATACATAACAAAAGCAGCTCTTTAGGTAATATTTTAAACATGTCCAAGAATTAACACTGGGGAGAAGACTGAAATATAAATTGCTTAAACAGTTACAAAAGTCTTATGCATTTTAGAACATGTTTCTTGACGGTTCCAGTTCAGGTTTGTAGATAATAAGTAGTTGTAGTCTGTAATATATAATAATTGCAGTCTTTGAGATTTGGTAATGGCCGCTTTTCAAACTGCAAATTCAATGCGATTACTGCGTCAATTCAAACTGTAATTATGATTTGATTTCCACCGCTACTGTTTACCATCACGTGTACTATGTATTAGTAAAATGATCATGTAACATATACTGTAGGTTACGTGCAAAAGCATCAGAGGTGCCCCAAATGAACCTGGCACTGGAAGATCAGAGCCGTCCTGGTTGTCCTGGGAGCTGGGAGTCAGGCGGCAGCTGAGGTTTTGTATAACAGCACCAGTTTTGTTTTCACATGTTCAAGGGGATGTGTTACTGGAGTCAATTTTAACCATGTTTCTGTGGTGTTATTCCTTCATCTTCACTTTCACACCTGTTGAAGTAACGCTGTTTCGTGAGGTGTCTTCCGATCAGAAGCTTGGTTTAATTTCTCTACATAAGCACTTGAATCCAGTAAGTGCTTATTCATGTTTTTAAAGTTCACACAACTTTACTGCACTCATTCTGAGTTTTTTTCCCACTTAACTGCCTTTATGTTATGTACCTCCACCCTGTTCAGTCATGGTAAGTAAGTAAGTCTTTATTTATATAGCGCTTTCACAAACATTTTCTGTCCCCAAAGATGCTTTACAGAGCATTATTCAGCATTATTCATTCACTCTATACCCTGGTGATGGTAAGCTACTATTGTAGCCACAGCTGCCCTGGGGCACACTGACAGAAGCGCCAGTGACTCCGCCCCCTGGTTACTTCAGCACAGCAGCATGGCCAAAAGCATTACCACTGCGCTGTTGAGTCCTATACTACTATACTACTACAGTACTACAGAGGCATATGCATCCTCGTCAGTGGTGGAGCTCTCACCAGTCAGGTCTGTGCCTTCAGGGAAGAGCAGCAGCTGCAGAGGCTCTCTGATATCACAGAAATACTCCAGCATGTTCTCCAAGTGTTTCTTGTCCTCGTCCCACCGCCGCTGGATAAACACAAAGCATGCCACCTGCATGGCCCAACCTGCACACACACACACACACACACACACACACGTTACACACATATGCACAAAGAGACAGCACAACCTAGTGTAACCCACATCTGTCAGTACTAATCATACATGTGGAACATGGAAGAATGTTTAGTTTGGAGGAAGAGTGAGCAGCTGAAGAGTTTTCTTGTTTTAACTTGACGATACATTTCATTATACAGGTTAAACACTACACCTGCTCCTCATGATCATCTAAACGGGCCCTCATCAGTCACTGTGCCTGACTCTTGTGTATTTCTAAGTGATATCTGTAATAGTAGTAGTATCTATTGATTGTTCTTATCCTGGATACGTTTCTCTGACCTGGATAGATTAACCCAGACATAACAGTCTCTGGATAAACAGTGCTACGAGGCGGGTTCATAACTCGCTCTTCTGTCAACGCCGGATTTTGTGATGGGGGTGGGGTTAGCATCAATCAACCAGTCAGAACAATGAAGACAGAAGCCTAATTACGCACAGGAAACTGTCAATCATAATCATTAAAAATATCCAAGGTTTCAAAATAAAGTAGGAAGGAAAGGAAACGCAGGACAATACAAATGTGCACTATGACAGTTACAGTCTGTAGAGTTATGAATGAAATAGTGTGTATTTAGTGTAATGCAATACACCCACTGCCCATCACCCACCAAATCCGGGCACGGCTTTGAGTCCGGCCTTGAGGCAGATCTTCTCCAGGCGCAGGTAGCTGTAGCGGAGCAGGCAGCACCACAGGAACATCCAGTCCAGACGTGTGCGGTGGTTCATGATGATCACGCTCCTCTCCCCGGGAATGAAGCCATCTCCTGTGATCACCACCTTCACCCCGAACACCAGCTCCAGCAGCGCCTACGGGCACACGGGGGAGGTAACGTAGAACTAAACACTACATAAGGTGGTTTGGCGGGATTGCGCTTGTGCCCAATATTTATCATTTTTTCTCAACATTTTAACTGATGTAAAACAAAGTACAAAAATACAGGAAGAAGCGCAGAGTTGTAAAATGGAATACTCTATCTATGTCATCAACAAAACTGAAAACGTAGAGATGATTTACACACAAGGTAGGCACATATTCTGACAGTTTAAACATTGATTTAACTAAATAAAGGAGTTGTCATCTTTCATTTATCTAATCATAACTGTAATTTGAGTCATTTAGGTTTTGGCCCATGTTTACAAAACGGTTGCTACATAACAGAACAGGAATTACCTCTTCATATGTCACTCTGCTGTCCATGTCCATTGTCCAACCTGGGAGTCAAATTATAAACTTCGCAAAAATTAAAAAAAAAAAAAAAAATGAATATGTGTGTGAATGGGTGAGTGGTTCCTTGACGTAAAAAGCTTTGAGTTCCTTGAAGGTGGAAAAGCGCCGTGTAAAAATGTGACCATTTACGATTTAGGATGACATTTTTTAAGCAGATGACATAGATAGAGATATTCCGTTTTTGAACTCAGTGGCCACGTTTACATGATGTTTATTAATTCCAAATTAATTGTTCGGAATTAAAGCCACTACCACACTTATGAATAAATTGTAATCTATTTATCTATCAATTTTAGTACGTTTGTGTTTTTAATATATTATATTTAATATTTATTGTGTTTTTAGTCAAGCGTGATGAATGAGTTTAACTAATTGTTGATGGAACAAACCATTCTGCACTGGAGCACTGTAACAATTTATTTTCTAACTGTGTTTTATGTGTGTTTATTGATGATGATGTGGATGAATGAAATGTGAAATGTGGGACCAGCCTCTCAAATCTGCGTAACAAATTTACCTACGAATAAAGCAACCTAACATAATATAACCTAATAATAATAACCTAAAATTAATATTTCCGGAACTGAGGTTTACATGGAAAACATGTTAAATCGCTTTTATTTAATTCCGCTCAATGTCTGGGGTTGGGGAAGGGTTCTGATTGGAAAGAGACACGAACGTATTTATGTCGCCCGGAAGAAAACACACAATTCAGCTGCTACCGGCTTTTTTCTCATCTCGGTTTGTCGTTACGCCACGGACACAAACATGATACAAACTTTTTTCGCAGTCGTTCCAATGATATTTAAGCTGTGGCTCGAGAATTGTCTCATCACGCTTTACGCCTGTCAGCTGAGGAGGAAAAGGAAAGAGTGTCGGAGAAGGGAGGAAGAAGACAAACTGAGTCAGCGGCTGCTCTACCTCAGCCCACTCCCGCATCCCGCTCGCAAACCCAAAGAGCAGTGAATGAAAGTGAAGCCAGGATTGGTGGAGCCGGATCGTCCAGATTGCATCAGAAGGGCGTCCCAACGAGCATGCGCTGAACGAACGGGAATATATTTAAGAAGAATAAACGATTACATGATAGAGGAATAAATTCATTTGGCTTTAAAATCAGAATAAACCACCCACTTACTTAGGAATTAAAACGATTATTGGGAATTAAACTTATTAGATTTTTTTTATTTTTTTTTTTTTATTAAAGCTCTTATGTAAACGTGGCTACTTTCTGAACTTTTATACTGTTATACTTTTCTTCCACAAACTGCCACTTAAGTGATGTAAAACTGTGATAAATATTTACCACTCGTACTATCCTCCAAACCAAGTCAGAAAAAAAAATTAAAAAAAAAAATCTATGCACTTAAAACAGCAGAATATCCAAACATGTAATTGTCTTGTACGGGACTCACAACAGGGAGGGTGAGCCATGTGGCCACTAGGCGGTCAGTGATCCAGCGGTACCAGGCCGGAGACAGCAGCACGAGGGGCAGGACGGGCCCCAGCATGTAGATGCTCCCGAAGAAACTGCTCAAAAACAGGGTGATGATGAAGCACAGCCCTCTCACCGACACAGCCATCTGGAACACAAACAAAGACAAGAATTATAAGAATATATGTGTTGGGATTGGATTGAAATAGGCAACATTCTGATAATAGATTCTTTCCCATGTTTACAGATTTTGCACAGTACTTTCCATTACAAGACTCCTTCCTCATTGGAAGTGTTGGGGTAAGTAGGTACCACGTGTATTCGAACCAGTGAAGCTGTTTATTGGGCTAAAAAAAAATAGTGTAGCTGGTTCAATTTCTCAGAGCAGCACAAATGAAAAATACATTAAAAATTTAGATGAAATAATCATTCAATCGGATAATGAGACACAAGATGCACTATGTAACTTTTCCGGCGGAGAATCCATTACATGTTTGTAACCATGGAGATGTCATGTTCCACAGTACGGCAATAAATTGTCTTACATTTAGTCATTGTAGGTGTTTTGTTTAAACCAATTACATTAAAATGTGAACTCTCACAAGAAGCAGATGACTTTATTTACCACTTGGGCTATTCACTTTATTCGCATGGGGCGGCAGCAGCTCCGTTGGTAGAGCGTTCATCCACTGATCTGAACGTTGGCGGTTCGAATCCTGTTCTCGACATAAACATCATTGGTTGACTGTGTGATTCCAGCTCCCACAGATGAAGTGTTAGTTCCTTGTTGTAAAGTGTTTTGAGTGTCTTGAAGGTGTAAAAGAGCTGTATAAACTTTTGACCATTAACCATTTAGTCCTGCTGGTGTGAGTGAATAAGTTCTATAAAACTATAAAACTTAATTAAAGTTTTCAGAGAATCAGTGCAGTGTGACTGGCACATGAGCACTGAACATTTTACACAAATCAACATATTTTATTTAATATTTTAGCAGAGAAACTGTTTTCAAATTCTCAGTTTAAAAGGACATAACGTTTCCATGCAGTCAAGAAAGTGACGACCACCAGAAAAACTACATAATGCAACTTTAGTTAAATCTCTCACCCGTTTCCATTTTAATGTCAAATGAACACACATTTTAGATAAATTATGTAATATTATAATCAAAATTTTTGGTTTGGTTAAAAAATGTAATAATTTTATACATTTATGTAAGGTCATCGTCAGGTAATTTGAAAGCAGAGTTTCTGATAATTATTTTATGTTGCATGAAAAAAAAATTAATAAAATGGTATTGTGGAATTAAAAGAAATGTGAAATATACAACCAAAATATGTACTGATTGTGTTATTATTAGGGGTGTGCAAAAATATCGGAATAGCGATATATCGTATTGTTTAATGTGATGATAAAGTATCGATATCGTGGGTTGCTGTATCAATATATCACCAAGAGTATTTTTTGTTATATTTTATTAAATTATTTTGTTATAGCACTACAATTTTGTTGCTTGTTGAGTGGAAGAAAACTCGTTTATGCAACACATTTGACATTTTCACTGTTTTGATGATTAAAATGTTTGTGCCTCATATGAACTTTACACAAGAAATGGTTTAGCAAAGACTTTTAGTGTCACAGCCATAATTTTGCCATTATTTTTTATTGAACCGTATCGAATCGATTTGAAATATATCATATCGAATCGAAAGTGCCCTGTATCGACGTATATTTATTGTATTGGCAACTTCTTAATGATACCCCGTCCTAGTTGTTATAAAACATGGCAAAACCAGTCTTGCCTTGGGAATCTGTATCTCTTCTCTCCCCTATGAGGCGCTGTGGTCGGGACTGCGGTGAGCGTCCAAACATCCCGTTGCGCGATTAGACGCTTTTGGACGCCGCTCTTTTATCAATAATAAACCGATGGAGCCGTTTCAGAATTCCCCATGTAACAGTGGAAAGAGCAGGCAGACAGTCTCTCGCTGGAATGTAAATATGGGAGCCTGCGTGACGGATGGCTCGTACGCGGACATTAAATCAGGGCCTGTGGATGGGAGCTATGCGCAGAATGGGGAGAATGGCTGTGGCAGTACAGTTATGCCACAACACAAGTAATATATGAGAATGCAAGATCAACGTGGGCGCATTCCTCTCCGTTTCAAAAGATAAACACTGGAACATGCTCCACACTAGGGTTGTCAAAAGTATCGAAAATCAGATACGAAAACTAGAATTGAAACTAGATTAACCAGAAATGTAGCTTTCCTGAATCGTTTTAGAATGATCTTGAGCTGTATCAGAACAAATATAAGATCACACAGACTAGTATATGCCCACGGACCACTGTGGAACCTACCTGGACCACTTTTTCACTGACAAAATTTCAACACTTGTCCATATCTTTTTCATGACCTAAAGTGAATTTTCCATGACTTCACAGCACCTACATGTGTAGATTTGAGCATACTTTTAGGGATAATATGAAATGTTAACCCTTTCCACTCACCTTATGGTTTGGTTTTATAGTTTTTTTAACATTCAAAATACTGTCAGTGTATAATTTTATTGTCATATCTTTTAAACAAAAGGAGAACTGAGAACTTAACAGAACGCTGTAGTTGCGTGAAAGAGATACTGATGGCCTGTTTACACGAGAACGCTTGTGGGTAAAAACGACAAAATATTTTATCAGAAGTGACTTTCGTTTAGACGGTGACAGCGTTTTTGGGGCTTAAAAACACAAAAATCTGAAACCACTGTCCAGAGTGGAAAAGTTGAATACGCTGCGCCGTAGTATTTCCGTCTACACTGCCCAAGACGCAAAACTCTGGTCAGATCTGCTCACGTCGCGTACACATTTATGTCACATACATCACCACATAGTGTCACCACCTTGCCACCTGGCATGCATCCCCAATTGAATTCCACACACTTTTGCATCACCGTATGCACACAGATTTCCTCCCGAAAACGCAGAATATAAAGTGAAGACGCGATGCCACTTTTGCGTCTTCTGTTCAGACCGTCGTCATATAAACGTAGCCTAAAATTCCATGACTTTTCAAGGATTTCAATGACTCTGAGAACCTTGTAATATAAAAGAAATACTATGACTTAATGCTGAAAATCACATTCTATGTCCTAAATGAGTGTTTTATTATCATCATGGTATCGAAATCAGAGTTGAGTAGGAACGCACCAATCCAGCTTTTTCAGTTCCAATAACGATTCCGACACTGTAGCTTTAATTATCTGCTGATACCCGATATCAACACATATAAAAACAGCATTTACTTCCTTAAAGCAAAATAAAATAAGACAGGACTGATCCAAGTGTGTTTTATATGTAGCTGTGATTTATCTCTCATCATCTTATCTTGAATTAAAGATTCACATATCATGAGGCTTTCTGGGTCAACTACAGTCAGTAAATTTTCTTTTGAAATCATCTGTAAACATCTCGACTGAACCAATATTTGGAAGCAGATAATCAATCTACCAAAGTTTTCAGTATCGGACTGGTGCCTCCCGACTATTGATTATCAAGTCTATTACTTAGTATCGAATTAAAGTTTGAAATTTTAGTATCATGGCCACACTAGTCAGTAACAAGGCATAAATTATTCACTATGGATGTATAATTAGGTAGTGTGTGTGACTTCCTGGAATTAGCACGTCACCTCCATGAAAACTAAAGTTAAAAAGTTAAAACTATACTTTGGAACATTTTCCATAGAGATTTTATGTCATATTGTGGAATATTATACCCAAAAGAACAACATTTCTGTGTAAACTAACAGGAAGAGGCCCTCCTACATGCCAAATGAGAGTCAGGTTTGTGGAAATGCAAGCATGCTCACAGTAGGAATGCATGTTTTTTCTGTTTGCAGCGCACTGTGTATCTTTTCTGGTGGAAGGTTCCATCAAATGCTTTTCTCCATGGAGATGTCTGGAATGTTTCACAGTATGGCATTAAATCTTTCTATCTTCATTAAGACCAAACCAGACCAAGTTACAGGTCAGATCTGTGGAGACACGACCCCATTCACAGTCACAATGTGTGTTTTTCTATGTATTTTTGAGCTGTAAAACCATCTGTAATTGAACATAAAGTTTTTTATGGTCATACTGTGGAACATTCCAGACAAACCAATGACATCTCCAAAGAAACAAGCCAGTAACAGACCACCAACCAAAAAGTTACAGTATTTTTTGGCTAAAAGTTACATAAAACATTTAAAAAAAGAAGCGTAAAGAAGGAAAGTTACACAGTGCACCTTTAAGACGCCAGATTATAATGGGTTTTTAAATCCTAGGCTCATTTGGAAAACCCATTCAAGGCATCACGCGAACCACAACAAACCAAAACAAAAAAGACTTAATTACAGAGAAGAAGTACAATGTTTCGAGACCTCAAAAACAACACCATTATAGTATAAAAAAATCAACACAAGGAGATGAGGCCTATTCAGGACAAAAGGTCTTACGTGGCTCAGTTCGTGGCAATCTGGACCGTCAATAGATACATTTATAGCTATCATTTTGAAAAACAAACTCACGACAATCAGGTACTTTGCATTACTACTACATACAGATGAAACATCAGTCTGTCAATTACAGAAGTGATCCTGATGTGATGCTTTGATCACACGCACACATGCGTGATCTCGTCTGATGCTGGCGTGACGTTAGCCATAGTCAGACACCACGTCAGGGCTAAATTTCCAAATTGCACTTGATTTTGCTCATTGACAACACAAGCTGTACGTTCTGCAGCAGATGAGACATGAGCTGCTCAAATCAAAGGATTTATACAAACGTATCAATCAATCTAATCAGCTTCATAGCTACATTTAAAAATGGAGAATGCTAAGAATAGCATCTACGAACAAGATAACCGCGTACTAAAGCTAACAATTACTCAAGTTACATTACTATAACAGTGATATGAGCAATGCATATGAAACTTACGAGTTCAATAATATCGGCAGATCTGCGTCGCTACTTCTCTTTCCTTGAGCTCTGTTATTCCTCAAACACCTTCCCCAGATCGATTCCCTGAGAGCTCGGGCACTGTCCGATTCACCTTTTTTCTTTGCGTCCTCAGACAAAGGCTTCCACTGTCTCTTAGCTGGTGGTGACATGGCTGACACCTCACAAATAAACACTACATATTTATTTTTGCACTGAACTGTGAATAGTGCCAGTACAGGGTGTGTCACATTTTGGTTACCTGTGTGTGTATTTTGAAGTGCCGTAAAGCAATCTGGCTCTTGCAAACAAAAACAAAGCCCTGAGAGCTGCCACCAACCCAGTGGGAGCCCAGTTGCATGTCTGTTTTTTTCTGCCCAGAGACAGCTGGGGGTATCAAACACCCCAAAATGTCATATGTAACCATCAGAGTTTCTTTCAAAGACATTAAGTAAGGTAAAAATGTTACTTAGTTCTGCTTTAATCCATTACATAATTTTGGGAGGGTTGCAAGATTAATCGCAACTAAATCTCCTGTTGTATTCTGCATAAAAACAGCTAACCTTGGACTTTAGATCTGTCTTTTTGTCAGTTCTTCCAGACACATTTGAACAAAATGTTATTATTAAAACAGAAATCACAAATCTAATTACAATTACAATGCTCATCAGAAAAATAACAATTAAATATTTCTTCCGAATCTTTCACCCCAAATTGCATTCAATTCAAATCTCTGTTCCAAAATTAGTGCTCACTATTATTGTCACTATTAGGGCTGTCGCGATTAGGGAATTTTTCCTGCAGTGCGGTATAGCGGCTCATCAGCGCGGTATGCTATGACATCCCACCCCTTTCTCCACTCCATGCACCGGCTCTGGTACCCGCGGACTTAAGAGAGCAAAAAAATTGACTCGTGCAGGACTCTGGGTCAGGTCATGTTGGTCACGTGCGGTGATTGCGGTGGCCCAACATGCACCGTAGTGGGCCTCTTCGTACTGCGGTGATTCATTTTTGCTGTTATTGAGACAGCCCTAGTCATGATACTAAACTTTCATGCTCAATTTTGATACAAAGGAATAGACTCAAAACTCATTACCAATTCTGAGACCAGGATGATAATAAAAAACATTCTTTCTTTCGACAATAGAATGTTATTTTCAACATTAAATTGTCGTACTTTTGTTTCTATTCCCATGTGCTCTTATATCTCTGTAAACCCTCAGTGGTCCAGGTAGATTCCATATTGGTCCATGGGCGTAAACTAGTCTATGTGCTCTTATACTTGTTCTGGAAAAGTTCATTTCTGTCCTGTGAATTTTTGGACCACCATAAGATTCAAAAGAACATTCTCTACCCTAATAAAAGGTAGGTTTTGTTGTTTCGTACACAAATCATTCCCTCAAAATGACTGTTTGGATGTCTATGGTTATTGTCTGGTATTAGTGAATTCTTGATGACACCTCCACCCTTGTCTTGATGATAATTAGAGCCCCGCGACGACGCAGCACCTGTGGCTTTGGTAACATTCATAATGCAGAGTCAGTGCCCTCTAATGACACGGTGCCAAGACCAAGACAGGTGAGAATGCACTTACTCAACAGACCATGAATAACTCAGCACATCTGTTATGAAAATGTATATAAGCAAACAACCATATCTTCAAGTACTTGTGTCCCCTGAGTGCTCATCTGCGTTTTAAAAGCTGCTCCATCTGATTTTTACCACCTTAAAAATATGAAAAACAGAACCGGTTCATTTCGCAGTGGTCCAACAGTCTCACTTACCTTCATTCTGAGCATCCTAATCAGTTTATAAGCATTTTTCACAACTCTCAGAGACCAGAGTGGAGTTTTGACATGACGGTAAAGCTAAAAACAACTAGCAAGCTACCTCACACTTCCTGATTACTGGGCAGTAAAATGATTTATGATTAGATGCAGACTTTCTATAATAAATGGGAAAAGCATCAGACTTCTAATCCAAGCATTTAAAAACATTGACATTTTTAAAGCGTTCTACCAAAAAACATAGATGAAGAGGTTTTAGGTGTCATCCATGCAAGTTTCAGTAATTTAGCGATCTCTCCAGGGCCCTACACAATTCTGTCGAATACACTAACAGCCAACAAACCTACATTATCAATGTTCCCACATGACAATTCTCCACAAATACACAAAAACAAAACTCGACAAACCTGATGCGATGTGTAGTAGTTTCATTAACGAGATGCACGTTGATAGTAATGCGATAGCGCTCTGAAGGGGGAGTGGCTTAAGGTGAGGAGCAAAGGGAGGGGGGGATCTCAGAGTGTCAAAAACTAGGAATGTCCTCCACCTGCTTGCCTCCGGGCAGATATTATAGATCTACCAGGTTTTTCCCCACATTATGGCATTAAATTTTCTTTTTGATTTACTTATACAGGTGTTTTTCTTTGTACTCCACAGATCTGACCTGTAACTTGGCCTGGGGGCTTGTCTCCATAGAAAGCATACTAGTAAATTGTTAAATGCCATATTGTGGAACATTCTGGGTGGTGAGTTGATAGTAGCTTCATGCTGAATACAAAAAACATGCAGCGAAAAATCTATTACACAAACCGACTCCTTGCAGACAATTCCCAAAGTCCCTGTTATGATCTATTCCATGTTTACACCGTTCTATTTCCATTATTATCTTGACTTGGTAATAACCTCCAATGCTGTAACACTGTCCAGCATACTTTTCATAGCTCATATCTATAACCATTACACAACCCAGACATCCCCGGAGACCCAAGTATGTCCAGGCCAAACAAGAGCGGGTGCTGCTGTGTCTGAGGAGAGATTCCACTGTATTCTCATCTCTGTGTTATTGATAAGTGCGGGGCAAAGGGCGCGCCTATGGAAAACTGCATCTGCAAAGACGTCATGCGAGTGGCCAATAAGTCACTTTAATGTCTGGCTGCTTACATTTTCAAAGGAACACATAGCCTTCCTTACGGACGAACAATAATTTACTGGTGGAGGAAATTCAACAGGTGGGATGCAGAAATGTATGGAACAAAATGTACTGCGTTGCATTATTAAAAGGTCCTATATTACACAAAATTGACTCTTTAGGGAGCTTTAAGCATGTTAGAATGCTGTTACCTCCTCAAAAACAGACCTGGAGTTGTGTTTTGTTTCATTCACACATGTTTGAGTAATCCTTTATTATTAGTCTGTCTACATCTCCAAACCTTAAAATGCTCTTTTCCAACTTGTGACGTCATGAAGAGGTAGTTTTCAAGTTAACAGCTACCTTTTTTGTTTTGCTCAGTAGAGATCGGCATTTCCAGTTCTGAAATTATCCAAATTATTCTAGTGAAGGTGTATGGAGTTTAAAAACACTGCATAACCACAAGACATCACAAGCTGGAAGTGTTTTCAGTTTGAGAGAAGAACTTGTGTGTTAAACATGTGCGAATGAAACAAAACACAACTCCAGGTATGTTTGTGATGAGGAAACAACATTATAGCATAGATATGGGCCTTTTAAGGATTAAATGTGACTAGAATATTGTCTATATATAAAGAGATTGGAAAAAGTATGTAACATTTGCACTCAAGTAAGAGTAGTAAGAAATGGATAATGTAAGATTTTTAAAAATTGTTTATATGGGCTTTATTTAATTGATTGTAATAAGCTAAAGGTTGTTATTGCACAGTTCTAAACTTTAAACTCAGGTCACTGAATTGCTATTTGCATGATTCTTAGGCAATTACATTTTCTTGCTGAGAAAGGGGGATGTAATGTAATGTGAACTGCGCAATCACCTTTTCTGTGTCCCTCCTTCTAGCTGTAGCTGCTGTTATTCAACTGTAATAAACACAGTCTGAAGAGTAACTTCCTGGAAGTAATATCTGATTTTTTAATTTAAAGATAATGTAACTGGGATGAGAAGATATTAAATAATACACAGATTTCAAAAGAACAGATATTTTTAAAAAAAAGACAAAAATTAAATATCTGAAGGAGTGGAGCAAAAAAAAAAAAATTCAAATAATTTCATATTGACACATAAAGCTTTTGTCACTTGTAATCTTACTCACAGTGGGAAGAGTAAACAAAACTTTTACTCAAGAAAGCATACTGTTACACTGTACAATATATAACTTTAGTAGGAATTAGGGATGTAACGATATCCAAATCTCACAGTACAATATTTTCACAATATACATCTCACGGTACTATATTTATTGAGATATTTTATGGAGGCCAACAAAACTGTGTAACAAAATTTCCCCTTAAAATGCTTTGACAAGACTTAATCCAAAGATCTAAGATTTAGTTCTCAGAACTGCTATTTCTTCATGTAGTTTGCACCAAAACGGAGCAAAGGATCATGGTCAATGTAGTTCCCTCTGTTTTTTTTTTTTTTTTTTTAGCTATTGCTGCACCATAACAATAAATTTAAGCAAAGAAACTTGTGATTCGATATATTGTGATGGCCCACGATATTATTGAAAGAACTTTGACAAGATATTTTGTTTATTGTTACACCCCTAGCAGGCATAAAAGTATGGTGTCTGAAACCTACTTAAGTAAGCATGCTTAACACTGAACTATAATTTAACTACAACACATAACTTGTTTCTGTTGTATTATTAGTACGAATTATGAACCTGTAGGCTACGTAACATGGAAATTGCCCTGTTCAATTTGCATCTAGGTGAAGGACATGTGTGATAAGCGAACTAACAAGAAATACAAGTGGATTAAGCCAATGTAAACAAACAGCTGACATCTTATTTGCTTATGGCTAATGCTAAGAATAGTACAGTGTTTGTGCTTATTTCAACTAGATCTCAACAATAGGGACAAAGCTTGCTCAAAAACAGTCACCAAATTTAACGATGAATCACCTGACAGAGTATTTGATGCCATGCTCGCTCACTCGCTGCTTCTAATCACGGAAAACATGGGCAGGCTACGAGCTAAAGTAGCCCGAAAAGTATTAACAACGCTGCCAACAATCATAAATCTAAACGGATCGATCTCACAGCGATGACAGTTTAACAAGGCGATCAGTTCACTCACCTTTCCTTGCGCAATCTTGAGGTAGAAAGTCAGAAAGTGAACTATCTCCACACGCCGCTTCTCGGTTGCGACATTGCAGCAGCAGCAGTTAGCATGTTAGCACGTAGCAGCCAGTAGCATCGCAAAACATCGGCTTAGTTTTGGGGTTATTCGGCTCTGACAGCTGTTGGCACCGAGTCGAAACTAAACGGCACATGAGTTGAAGTTGTGGCACGGTGAAATGATAACGCTGAGTCGTAATAATTAGTGATAGTAGAGCGATCTTTTGGCACGAGAGACGACGCAGGTGGAGTGTTGTGGAAATGCTGCAGCGTGACCTTTGAACTCTTCACCCCTCACCTGAGACAAATTCTCAACATTTTTATTTTTATTATATATTTTATTTATTTATTTACATGTGGCATCTCTATGATATAATGGAAAAAAAATACTGCTACTAATAATAATTGTAAGATCTATATTTTGTTGATTCTAAAATTTGTTTATTATTTTTGTTTGTTAATTATCTTACTAATTCAGTTTTGTTAATTTGCATAATGCATTTTTGCTATGTTAATTTTATATTTGCTAATTTCTTTTTTTTTTTTTTTTTTTTTTTTTGGTTTAATCTGGGTCACCTAGGGGATAAAGGAGGGTAGGACACACAGACCAGAGTGCACCTGGCTGGGCCTATGGTTTTTTACCAGTCAAAAGGAGACGCAGCAGGAGTAGGCCTTTAACATGTATCCTTGTTGCTTGCCACAACTGGAAATAAATCTTGGAAATTCAGCTTTGGTCACAGACATTGATTTGTAATTTTGTTACTGCGTAAACCACATACCCATGGTGCCCAAAGGTGATTATTTGAGTTATGTTTAGTTCGGAGTTTGCTCACCGCTTTTGTTTGTTACTTTTATTTGACAAATAGTCACTACAATAATAATACTAATACTAATCGTTGTTTACCACCATTTTAGTCACTGCTCTTGTGACTGGCTGGCATACTGTGCAGTTTTTAAACTTGACTTACATTTTTATCTTATTTTTTAAAATTTACAACAGATTTTCTATGACAGATGACATTCTAGAGGGAATGGCCTTCCTCATCACCAACCGAAACAACAGAAAGTGAGGCTTAGAAAAGGCTTTCCTGTCATGTGTTCAGACTTCACCTGGCTGTCCCTGGGCACTGCCCGAGCTTTAGGACACAGAGGAGGGACATTTCTGTTCTGAGGGCTGTTACTCACCTCAAACTGCCCTGACACTGAATTTAATGAACCTACCCATTGAGACTTCTTTTTTTTTTCTGAGCTTTCTATTATTATTATTTATTTTATTTTTTATTTTTTTTTTTGTTTTGTTTGTTTTGTTTGTTTTTTGTTTAGTTTTTTGTATTTTTACTGCTCAGTGTGCTTAAATTGCCCCATAAAGTGACAAAGATATTGATTAACTGATAATAATAATTTAATTCTATATTTTAACTGTTTACATAACTTACTCATAGACTTCCCGTACTAACACAGAATAGAAATTTCTTAAACAGTTTTAGTTTTTACATTTTTTTATTTTATTTATTTAAAAGGGAGAATGCATATTCATGAACATATACTTGTAAATACACCAGAATTAGCCCAAAGGCTACTTTTCATCTGTAGTCCCTGGCAGGTCAGAGAGACATAAAACATAAAACATAAAACATAAGAACATAAAACGCGTCACAATAGACAAACACAACATGACATACAACACTGACATTTACATAGGAGCATAACACTAGTGGTTACAGATCTGGTTACTGATCAGCTTTGATTTAAGGTTCACCTTATTCACCTAGAATTCAAAGTTCAATTTACAACATACAGTGAGGGGAAGAGTACTTTGAAGATGTATTTAGTTACAGAATACACAATACCTGCATTACTACTTAGCACAGTCATGCATTCTTTTGATTTTAGAAAAGTATTCTGTATTCTGAATACCACTAAATGAAAGTAACTACCACTAAATGAAAAAGTGACTATACCGGAATACAGTTACTCAAAGTTAGTATTCTGAATACGTAATATTGGTACATGTCACTTCACTGACTACAGAACAGTACATTTCATTTTGTTTCGCTCAGTGTTCACAATGTTCTTGACAAATAACATTTCATAAGATTGACATTTGACTCCATTCAATTCTCTTAACAACAGGCTATGATCACAGATACTCCTATTAACTTATTATTCTATTCTGAGTCTGTTATTTTCCAAAACAGCAACATGCCAGACCTGTCTGTGGCATGAGTGTTATCATCTTTAAGAGCTGGAAACCATGAGTCAAAACTGGACTGACTGATGGTTATCTGTTTGTCTCACGGGGAGGAGAAAAACGTGCCACTAATTACAGCTCTGTGTACATGTGTCATGGTCCAGGAAGGAGACGGCACAAATTCCAAGAATCAAACCAGTAGCCTACTTTTTACTAGGTGAGAGTGCTGAATATCCATATGTGGTGTTATGTAGGCCATGTTTTTATACACTAGAACTGAATCTTTTAAAATGTGCATCATGTAACTTTAGAGTGGAGGGTACAGCACCAGCTTTTCCCCATGGAGATGTTATTGTTTTGCCTGGAATGTTCCACTGCATGACATTATAGCCTTCTTATCTTTCTCTGTGTTATGTAAGAATGCAGGAAATAATAACCAATAAAAACATTATACACCAGTGATAGGTTAATTTAGCGATCTAAGTGATTCGGGCAGAAAATGTCTTTAGACCAGTGTTTCCTAAAGACTGGGTCGCGACCTTCAGGTGAGTTGCAAGAGATTTTTTTGGGGTCCCTTTGTCACGATCTGCATGTAGGTCTGCAAAATACAGTTCTGAAGACAAAGCTCAGAAACAGACTGAATGCTGCACCTGATCTTCTGCTGTGCTCTCCTCCTGCACCTGGACAGGTATGCGTTATAAAAACACAGACAGGCCCACCTATCTCATTACAAAAGTTGAAGTGTTAAGACATGTTTTGTATCATTTCTAATCTTTGTGTAATTTTTTAATGACTATTTTGTTCCAATATTTCTGGTTCAGTTGAATGTTGAAAAGAAAAAGAAATGGGCTATCAATGACCCAACCCATGTTCTTCACAGTCAGTTTGAGTTGATGCCATCAGGCAGAAGGTTCAGGGTCCCAAACTGTAAACTGAACAGATTCAAACATTCTTTTGTGCCACTGTTAATCTGCTAAACTCAGATAGTGCAGTTAAAAAATAATTATAAAAGGCTTAGGGAATGTGCAATCAAAACTGCACATAGGCTTAGGGAATGTGCAATAATTAATAGAATACAAGAAGGCAAGGGCTTGCCTGTTAAGAATAATTTAAAGGTCCTGTTGGTGCATCACTCGTGGTCACACTTGGTCTCATATTTACTTTGTTCTATGGTGTTTGTTTATGTAGTAAGTATGTTACCCTCTGTCCCAAATTTCTCCCATGGGAGACAATAAAGAATTATCTTATCTTACATTTAATATCCAAATAGGTGACTTATGGATCCTTTTATTGCTGCTTCAATCATTGTTTTTCATTGTTTAAAACTTGAGTAATATTAATTGTTCTGAGAGACACTATCACTCAATCAACAATAAAATATCCTCATTCATGTTCAATAATGGTCAAATATGTCTTTATTTTGTGATTTATGAATAATGTCTATTGGCTTGGGTGGTGAAGGTTTGAGACTTTAAAAATATGGGTCCCCAGAAAAAAAGTTTGGGAAACACTGCTTTAGATGACTACAAACAGACTGTCTAAAGAAGTGGATTAAGGGAGTGTACCTTCACTCATAGCGTTCGCCTCCAGTCTAGTGAAACTCACAGAGGCTAGCAGTTACGGGGTGAATTTGGAGCCGAATAAGGAAAAGAAATCGCTATTAAGGTTTTGCGTCTACGTCACAAAACCACATGACCTGGTGTTTATGCCGCCACATTGGAGGTTAAACTGTCCATTTGGACGAATGTGTTGTATTTGTGTGAGATAAAATTTGAATTGAATAACAATAATTTTGACCTGTGTTGCTATTGGATGTTCTGGCCGGAGTCAATCTTCTAAAGAAGGAGGCCAAAGTATTTTTCTATTGGATCCCGGGTGATAAAGATCACAGACAGAGCTGGATAGCGTCTGTGCAGTCAACATTTCATTTTTGGTGAGGGACCAGCTCCACACAAACGAAGAAGGAATTTACGGTAAATGAAATGATATCTATCAAAAGTATTTTTCTCGCCAGTGTACCAGCACGGAATAAACGGAATAATCCCAGTCTTGACCTCCAGTATGGCTGCCAAACATTAATAGGGACCAAATAGCAAAATAAAAACACCAGGATAATGTAGAGTAGATGAATATGAACATTTTAAGACTAGAATGAGCGGGGTGAGCCAGAGTCAGTGGAGCCAAAAGTGCGCCCATACTCACTCACAACTGTGCAGACTTACTTCTTTGGTCAGTATTGGCTTGGTTCTAGTCCAGGCTTTGATTCAGTCCTGATTCACACGCACATATATACACACACACGCATAGCTCCCCATAAGCCCCCAATCGCCCTGGTGACCTCAGCCCTCAGTCATGTTTTGGGCCCCTGCGTCGAAAGCGTGCGGGGCCAACTGACGGACAAGTGCAGTCTCTCCAACTTTTCCATGATCTGCTGGGTAAGGCATGCGCTGTATCTGAGGTCCTACAGCGTTATCAGCGTAAGGGTCACCGCATCACTTCAGAAGGAGAGAGTGAGAGAGAGAGAAAGAGGGAGAGGCCAATGGAAAAATGTTATGCTTTCAAACCGCAAAGCTCTATTTTTAACATTTCGGAGCCAAGTCTCGACTCCGAAAAGGAAAAGTCCATGGTCTGTGTGATGGATAGAACCAAGCGATGTAGCAGTTCGATCCGTTCTAATTATAGTCTTCTTCTTCTTGGAGAATTTGAAATATCTGAAGCTTGTGGAAAGATTGGCTTAGTTTATGGTTAGGAAAGATTGGTGGAAAGAAAAGCACACGTGATCAGGAAGGGTTGAGGAGATACAGGTGAGAACATGCAAAGATAAAGTACATTTTCATTTGAAAGAACTTAAAGGGCCCATTTTACACATTTTTTTTTAATGTTATAATGTTATTTTCTCATCACAAACAGACCTGGAGTTGTGTTTTGTTTCATTCACACATGTTTAACACACAAACCCTGCAGATTTGGGCTGAGCTCTTCTCTCAAACACTGGTAATCTCTACTGAACTAAAGGTAAAAGGTAGATGTTAACCTGAAAACTACCACCACATGACATCACAAGGTGGACACTTT